CACACACACACACACACACACACTCACACACACATATATATATATAACTTCCCTCAAGAAGATTTACTTTCCTAAATTGTATAATATATGCTCACTGACAAAAGCCTATAAAATAGTGTAAAGATGCAAATAAAAATCATTCATATTCCAACCACCCAGATCATTGTTAACACCTGATGTAAACCAGTCTTCCTTATGTAGATACATCCAATGCTACCATCCTGTCTGTTACAGATTGGACTATACATGTTGTGAAATCCAAACTCTGTACCTGTGGTTATAATCCCATTTGAGAATAAATTTTCTTTGTTATGTTAATGAGGAAGTATTAATGGAGGAAGCATCTTAAATTAATCTCTTTTGATTCATAAAAAAAGCAGAGAAAGCAAGCTGCAAAAATGCAGAGATGGGGGAAGACAGATATCATGCCACATGAAGGTCACCAAGGAGCCAAGGAAAAGAAGCTGAGAAGAGACAAGGACCTTCCCCCAGAGCCCACAAAAACAGAAGGCATTCCCCTAGAGCTAGTGCCCTGATTTCAGACTTGTAGCTTCCCAAAATGTGAGAACATAAATTTTTTTGTTAAAGCCATGTACTTGTGGCATATCTATTATAGCAGCACTAGATAACTAAACACTGTCTGTGATGTTTTCCTGCATATTGTAGGAATTAATGCAAAAGCTGAATCTTTTCCATTTTTCTAATGATTAGGATTTAAATAGCTGTGCTATTTATGATGTGACCCTTATATGTCTAGAAAGTTATTGAATAAGCCAAACCCAACCCATGCCATTGAGTAGATTCCAACTCACAGTGACCCAACAGGACAGAGTAGAACTGCCCTATGGAGTTTCCAAGACTGTAAATCTTGACGGAAGCAAACTGCCTCATTTTTCTCCTATGGAGCAGCTGATGGATTTGAACCACTGACCTTCTGGTTAGCAGTGCCACCAGAGCTCCAAGTTATTGAACTAAGCTCTGAAAACCTCCACATTTTAGGGACAAAAGTAGATACACCGTATGCTTTCAATTTGATGATGAGTAAGGAACTGAGGGAATTTAAAGATAGAATGATGGAAGGGAGGGAGGAAGTAGAAAAGGAAGGGAAGGGAAGGAAGAATGATGAAGAGGAGAGCAGCAAGGGAGGGAAGAGGAAAAGAGCAAGGGAAGGAGGAAAGAAGGCAGGAAGGACGGTTGAATGATGGATTTGGAAGTTGCACTATTTTAGCAGCAGAGTGTTACAATTATTGGTTTTCCTCATGTACCATGCTGTGTACTGAGTGAATGCTGAGTAAATATGAACTGATTTTTATGTGTCAACATTCATTTTTAAAAATCCTAAAATAAGTATGTGAGATGGGGCAGTGGGAAGTGTCTAAGAAAAGGTGGAATACAGATTTTAAAGATAAAAAATGTTAATGGAAAAAAGCTACAGAAAACAAATCAGGAAGAAATCTGTGAGTAGTCATACTATGTGAAGTGATAAGAATGTTGACTATAGGAAAATGTTAGAAAGAGATTTAATTAAATTATCTTATGCTATCAGCACTCTTTTTTTTTTTTATGTCACAAAAATTATATGTGATGCACAAAGCATTTCTGTGATGCTAGTCTTAGAAAGAATGCCAAGAAAAGCAATACCTTTATTAATCAATAATCAAGACTACTATTGGCACTGAGCAAGAGACTTGTCCAGACAGGGGCTATCCTGCCTGCTTGCATACCTGTTGTTTTGCTAGCATTTTTTCTTTTATTTCTAACTCCATTTTTAACTGTTTTTCCAGAAGGGCAGCTTTCTTCATGATAGTTGCTATAGTGATTTCCTTCTGATGAAGCGCTGCTGTTAGGTCAGAGATTTCATTCCTCATTCTTTCCTGCTCAGAGCTTTGGTACTCTTCCTCCTGATAGAACTGGCTTCTTATCTGCAGCAGATACATTCCAGGAAATATTAGTAAACCTTTTACTTATAGAGCAGCTTAAAGCTTTGACTGGCCATTTTGACTTTTTTTTTTTTTTTTTTTTTAAATACTTACCTTAACTAGAATGTGGAGAAAGTATTATCAAACACTTTTTATGAGGAAATATTTGGCTTAGAGAAGTTAAGTGACTTGCTTAAGTTATAAAGCTAATAATCAACAGAGCTGGGACTAGAATCTAGGACTCTTAGCCTTGAATTCAGTGCTTTTTGATTAAATTATGCTGTAGTGTATGATTAAATACTAAGTATGCTTTTCAGAATCATGTTATAATAAGCTTCAGACTTAATGTAACCACAAAAATGCATTACCTCCTCTCCTGCTTAAGCCTGTGTAGTCTCTTATACTTTTTTTTTTTTTTTTTTTTTAAATCTCTTATACTCTTAATCCTGGCTAAGTCTTGCATTTAGAAACTTCTGGATCATCTTGGACTCCTCCCCACCCTCATCCTCACAAATCCAACCAGGCAGCAAATTCTGACTGTTCTATTTCAATCTCTCTTAAATCTGGCCTTTGCTCTTTATTCCTATAATCACTGTTTTAGTTCAGCCTCTCATCATCTTTCTTGAACTACAACAACCACCTCCAAGTGCTCTCTCCAACATTCACTGCTCCTAATTCTTGAGATTCAGATATAAAGTACACAATCACTGACCTAAGGGTATATAGTGAAGGGGATGTCAGGATAGATTTCCCTAAGGGTCATCAGAACTGACTATCGAAGGACAAATGAAGTCAGTGAGGAGATGATGATGGAGAAGGGCTCAGGCAAGGATGCAGTGAGAAAGAGCAGGGCACACTCAGGGAACTAGGAGTTTGATGTGGCTGGGACTTGAAAGCGTTATGAGAAATAAGGCCAGAGAGCTATGTAGAGGCCATCCACAAGGAGAATTCTATGAATTTGCCTCAGAGCACTTATTTATTAAATTGATTTTTTCCCCATTTCATCTCTACACCTTTCAGTGTATATCTTTTTAAGAAAATGACTCTTAAAAAATGCGAACCCAACATAGTCTGAATATCTCACCATATCTTAAAATATTTAACAATAACTCCATAATATCATATTCAGTCCATATTCACATTTAAAATTAGCCCCAAACCAAAAAATCAACTGCCATAGAGTTGATTCTGACTCATAGTGACCCCCATTGGGTTTCCCAGGCATAAATCTTTGTGGAAGGAGACTGCCCATCTTCCTTCTGCAGAGCGGCTGGTGGGTTTCAACTGCCAACTTTCTGGTTAACAGTCAGATGCCTTAGACACTGTACCACCAAAGCTCCTTTTAAAATTAGCTCCAAAATGTAATAAATGTTTTTTGAGTTTGTTTATTTGAAACAGGATCTGAATATGGTCCACACATTGAGACTGACTCATATCTTTAACGTCGATGCATGTGTGTTTATGTCCTTTCCAAGCATCATTTCATTTAATTCCCACAACAGCTCTATGAGATCAGGACCATTATTGCTCTATTTTGCAGATTAGACATTTAAGGCAAATATGTTTTACAGACATGTTGTAGGTGAAAGGCAGTTTGATTCCAAAACCTATGACCTTACCTACTGTGCTATGCTACTTCTTATGGGCCAAGCCCTAGAAGATTGTTCACTCTTGAAAAAAAAGCTGGGTTCTGGGGTGATGCCTAGTGTGGGATGACATAACGTGAATGTGCACATGTCTGGAAGGCAAACGTGTTCCATCGTAAGGCTTTAGGCCACCATCCTTTCATCTAAATCTATTCCTATTGCTAAACGTTTTAGAATTTCAGAGTTAGACTTGACCTTAAAGATCACATGGTCAAATCCCAGAATTTTACAGATGAAGAAAAGAAAATATTCCCAGGTAAGGAAAGTGACTGGCCTAAATTATTCATATCCTGAGAGCAAAGGAGGAGACTAGTAGACGGGAGCCAAATAATCTAACCCTGAGGACAATATTATAAATCTCCTTTAATCTATCCATTCCATCTCCAGTTTTTTTTTCTTTATAATTTATTTGATGAAGCAATGGGGTTATTTGCTGGGTAAAGTTTGTCTCAGTCTGAATTCATGGGATTATATGATATGAAAGTATTCAAAATATGTGGAGAGTATAACCAAGGTTATTTAATTGTACACAGAGAAACTGTTGAATGTGTGTGTGTGTTCTGCAGTGCACATTTTCATCAAAATGAGAAAAAAAAAAAAAGAAAGTCAGACAAGGAGAAAAAAGAACAGTGTTCAAAATGTAAGGAAAATAATCATTAATTCCTAACACCTTTTCTACACTTAACCTCTAGTAGGTCCCTGACAGTGGTGTAGTTTAACATGTTCCTCTTAAAATGGAACTTTTAAAGTCTGAAAAAATAAACATATTGTTATGAAGGAGTAAATTTTTATTATTTTTTTTACAACATTTCAATATTAAAGCAACATATTATATTGCAAAGCTTCTTTCTAAATGAGATTAATTTACCAGAGCTCCAAATCACTTTTGGCTTCATTAAAAATGCCTATTTTATCACAAAATGAATTACTGAAAATAGCTTTATACTGGAAAAAAGAGAATGGAAATAAAACACTTGCAAGACCCATAATACATGGCTCTTTTTGGTTTTATTACAAGAGAATGAAAATGCTCTCCCACAAACACTTCTTGGAAGCTACAGCTATTTATATACAATTCATATGCTACCTTTTCTGCACAATATTGTACAATCTAGTGGTCTTAAAGAGCCAATAAAGAGATTTGTGCCTCACAGATCTCCTTCCATAGCAAAACTGTTCAAAATAGTAGATTCTTTATATTACTCAAGGCTATATTACCCTATATCTATTTCTATGAGATTTAGAACCATGTTAACTATACTTAGGTCATTTAAATAAATACTCTATCATAATGCATTTATTTGGGACACCAGGAGAGAACAGTTTTTTAAAATTATATTTTTAAATATCAGTAAAATCCATTTCATGTTTTTTTTGACATAAAGTATTCAAACTATAAAGAAAATAATCATTAACTCATAACACCTTTCTATACATAACCTCTAATAGTTCCTTGGCACTTACTCTTGGAGAGACAGGATCTGTATTTCACATCACTGTATCTCCTACAGAAATCAGCAGAATAGCTATAGTCCTACTATTGATGCACAGTATAAATGCTTGTTGAATTTATATAAACAAAAATTCAATTTATGAGCCTATACAATTATGACAAGATCTAGCCTTAATATTTTCACTTCCTGTGAACCAGACACTCTGCTAGGTACCAGATCATAAGTCAAAGCCATGCCCAGTTTTTTTTTTAATTTTAGCAATTGTTTAGATTTTATAGCATTGAATATTCTGATCTTCAAATCCAAAGGCCAGAGAAGTCACTACAATCTAGGATAAACTCATAGAAAAAAAGCCATTACTGGATTTTACTGGAGAAGAGAATATATATGTATTTTTATTATTATTTTTTGATATGAGAATAAAGAACCATAGACTGTTCAAGGACACTGATCAGGTCTTACTCCTTGTAGCCTAAACTTCTGGCAGAGTGCTTACACATGTTAGATGGTTAATGAAAAATGTGGGTATAACTAACAAACATAGCAGTCAGCACTGATTAGGTGCTTGCTCTGAGCTAGGCCCTGTTTTAAGCTGTTCATATGCATTACCTCACTGATTTTAACTTAGGACAAGAGTGTGGACTCTGGAGCCAGACTTTCTGGATTCAAATCTGGCCTTATTCACTTAGCGGTATAATGCTGGGGCAAGTTACTTAATATCTTTGTGCCTTAGTTATCTTAAATGTAAAAGGGGCTAATACTAATCTCTTACTCATAAGATGGTTGTGAGGAATAAATTAATTAGGATTGCTTAAACCCTTTGAACAGTACCTAGCATGCAGTAAAAGTACTATTTACGCGTTGTTGTTACGTGCTGTCGAATCGGACCTGACTCATAGCGACCCCTCCTTGGGTTTCCGAGGCAGTATCACTATGGAAGTAGATTGCCCAACCTTCCTTCCAAGGAGTGACTGGTGGGTTTGAACTGCCAGCCTTCTGGTTAGCAGTCAAGAGCCTTAGGCACTATGCTACCAGAGCTCCTTTAATCCTCATCACAACCATGTGAGGTAGGTACTAATTATCTCCATCCTGGAAATGAGGATCCTAAGCAGTTTGCATAGACAACGTCCACAAGCTTATGCACCAAATATGTGGCTGAGCACCGAAGTCTCTGCTTTCAACCTCCTTTCTATAAGCCACTTCTTATGGAGCCATGGGCCCTCCAAATCTGAGGGGTTAATATCTAGTGGCAGTGTGATGCCATACGGTTTGTGTTTTTTATAGTATCACACAGAAGAATGTTGGGATTAATAGCCTGATAGGTTATTATCTTAAGAGAAAATATAGGAGGAAAAGAAGGGAGTGAGAGAAGAAATTTTTTTGCCCCTTGTTATTCACAGACTTCAGTTCTACCTGGAAGAATGGAGCTCATTATTTTCTGTACCTTGTTCAATTCCTTTTCATGATTTGTTTGATCTGGATTCACAGAAAACACTTCTTTCTTTTTCCTTTCTGGTTCTTTAGTACAAGGTGAATAAGATGATTCAAGTCTACAGATTGAAATAAAATAAGGAATAAAAATTAAGCTTAATTTTATAAATGTTATGATTCTATTGTAAATTTAATTCCTTATTGGTTGCAGAGTTTTGTCATTAGTTTGTTGGAAACATTTCTAGTTACAGAAATTGTAAGTTCTAATATACTCAGATCCCATTAGTATTTACATTTTTAAGTGTGTGAAAATGGTTTTACGAAAAAAGATTTTAAAATGTGGCAATTAATATGGAATTTCAGTTGTACATTAAAAGCGAGCAGAGATTTTACTTCACAGAGATTGCATATGTAGATAAGATTTTTGGATAAGCAGAAAAGACTGTTTTGTCTAATAAATTAGCTAGGGGACCCATTAAAAAAAGGAAACACATCAACCTTGCTTCTGCATAGTGAAAAGAAACTGCAATGGAAGAAGTCCGAGGGGAACAAGTACTCCATAAAAGTGATCAAAAAATGACTAAATCTGATGTCTAACCATCGAGGGCTCAAGTATATCCTTTGGCTGCTCAATTTATAAGATGGAACTGAGGGTACAGTCATGAAAGAACCTGGCTACTAACCAACAGGTCAGAGGTTTAAACCCATAAAGATGCATTAGTCTGCTTCCTTAAAGATTTACAGCCTAAGAAGGTATAGAGGCAGTTCTACTCCATCCTATAGAGTCACTATGAAATTAACTCACTGGCAATGGGTTTGGTTTTTGGTTTATGGCTACTAGAGGGGAAAAGCAGAAATTAGTATAAAATTTCCATAGGAAGTTTGGAGAACTATAACCAAGTAATGTTTACCTCCAAATTAGATGAGCTGGTAAAATAAAAATCATTAAAACACAAAATTAAAGATAAACAGGCAGAAAAAGCAGCATGTTTTCTAGTGATATCAGGCTTAATTCATCTAGTTGAGTCCAGTGTTTTGAGGAATGGTTAATCCATTAGTTTGCAGTAAGCACAATTTTAGACTCCAAAGAACTTTTGAAAAAGTTTCACACATCAAAAGCTTAAACCCCACACAAAAACAAAACAAAAGCTAAGCAATGAGGAGGCAGCTCTTCTTCAGTCATATTTTGAGTGCCTTCCGACCTGAGGCGCTCATCTTCCAGCACTATATCAGACAATATTTCAGGACTGTTCATAAAGTTTTCCAGTAAAACAATGTTTTCACCAGCCAATTCTTTGAGAAGTGTATGGCCCCCTCCTTCAGCCAAGTCTTTGTCTGGAAGCTCCACTGAAACCTGTCCACCAGGGGTGACCCTGCTGGTATTTGAATTACTGGTGGCATAGCCTCCAGCCTCACAGCAACATGTGAGCCACCACAGTACAACAAACTGACAGAAGAAACAGCTGCAAGCTCAAAAGGGGAAGAAATAACTGCAAACATCCATTAACAATTGGAACATGGAGTACAAATCAAGGAAAATTGAAAGTTTTCAAAATTGAAACTGAACACATAAAAATCAATATCCTAGGCATTAGTAAGCTGAAATAGACTGGTTTTGGCCATTTTGAATCAGACAACCATATGATCTACTATGCCAGGAATGACAATTTGAAGAGGAATGGCCTGGTATTCATCATCACAAAAAATGTTTCAAGACCTATCCTGAAATACAATGCATCAGTGATAGGATAACATCCATATGCCTACAAGGAAGACCAGTTAATACTACTATTACGCATCAACCACCAAAGCTAAAGATGAAGAAATTGAAGATTTTTACTAACTTCTGCAGTCTGAAATTGACCAAACATGTAAGTAATTGCCTGTTTGCAATTATTGTAATAATCACCAGTCATTGATTATTACTAGTGATTGGAATGCGAAAGTTGGAGACAAAGATGAATGACTGGTGGTTGGAAAATATGGCCTTGATGATAGAAATGATGTTGGAGATCACATGACAGAATTTTGCAAGACCAATGACTTATTCATTATTGTTGAAAAAGTACCTTTTTTCAACACATAAATGGTAGCTATACATATGGACCTTACCAGATGGAATACACAGGAATCAGATCGACTACATTTGTGGAAAGAGGTGATGGAGAAGCTCAGTATCTTCAGCCAAAATGAGGCCAGGAGCTGACTGTGCAACAGACCATCAATTGCTCATATGCAAGTTCAAGTTGAAGCTGAAGACAATTAAAACAAGTCCATGAAAGCCAAAATATGACCTTGGTTATATTCCATTTGAATTTAGAGACCATCTGAAGAACAAATTTGGCATAATGAACACCAATGACCGAAAACCAGATGAACTGTGGGATGACATCAAGAACATCATCATACATGAAGAAAGCAAAATGTCATTAAAAAGACAGGAAAGGAAAAAAGACCAAAATGGACATCAGAAGAGACTCTGAAACTTACCCTTGAATGGAGAGTAGCTAGAGAAAATGGAAGAAATGACAAGATAAAAGAGCTGAACAGAAGATTCAAAGAGCAGCTTGAGAAGTCAAAGCCAATTATTGTAAAGAAATGTGCAAAGACCTGGGGTTAGAAAATCAAAAGGGAAGAACATGCTTGGCATTTCTCATGCTGAAAGAACTGAAGAAAAAATTCAAGCCTCAAGTTGTAGTATTGAAAGATTCTATAGGCCAAATATTGAATGATGCAGGAAACATCAAAAGAAAATAGAAGGAATACACAGAGTCACTGTACCAAAAGGAATTGGTCAATGTTCATGTATTTCAGTAGATGGCATATGACCAAGAACCAATGGTATTGAAGGAAGAAGTCAAAGCTGCACTGCAGGAATTGGTGAAACGCAAGGCTCCAGGAATTGGAAGAATTCCCACTGAGATGTTTCAACAACGATGCTGCACTAGCAGCACTTAATCATCTATGCCAAGAAATTTGAAAGACAGCCACCTGGCCAACTGACTGGAAAGCATCCATATTTGTACCTATTCCAAAGAAAGGAGATCCAACAGAATGTGGAAATTACTGAACACTATCATTAATATCACACTCAAGTAAAATTCTGTTGAAGATAATTAAAAAATGGTTGCAGCAGTATATTGACTGGGAACTTCCAGAAATGCAAGCTGTATTCAGAAGAGGATGTCGAACAAGGGATATCATTGCTGATGTCAGATGGATCTTGGCTGAAAGCAAAGAATACCAGAAAGATGTTTAATTGTGTTTTATTCACTATGTAAAAGCTTAGACTGTGTGGATCATAACAAAATATGGATAACATTGAGAAGAATGCAAATTCCAGAACACTTAATTGTGCTCATGAGGAACCTGTACATAAACCAGGAGGCTGTTGTTTCAACAGAATAAGTATTATTCTCTTTCAACAGAATAATACAGCATAGTTTAAAATCAGGAAGGGTTGTATCCTTTCACCATACTTATTCAATCTGTATGCTGAGCAAATAATCCAAGAAGCTGGACCACATGAAGAAGAGCATAGCATCAGGATTGGAGGAAGACTCATTAACAACCTGTGACATGCAGATGACACAACCTTTCTTGCTGAAAGTGAAGATGACTTGAAGCACTTACTGATGAAGATTAAAGACTACAGTCTGCAGAATGGATTACACCTCAACATAAAGAAAACAAAAACCTTCACAACTGGACCAATAAGCAGCCTCACAATAAATGGAGAAAAGATTGACATTATAAAACATTTCATATTACTTGGTTCTACAATCAACACCAGTGGAAACAGCACTCAAGAAATCAGATGACATATCACACTGGGCAAATCTGTTGCAAAGACGTCTACAAACTGCTGAAGAGCAAAGATGTCTCTTTGAAGACCTAGCTGTGCCTAACCCAATCCATGGTGTCTCCAATTGCCTCACATGTGTGTGAAAACTGGACAATGAATAAGGAAGACTGAAGAAGAGTTGATGCCTTTGAGTTGTGGTGTTGGTGAAGAACACTGAATGTACCATGGACTGCTAGAAGAATGAACAAATATGTCCTGGAAGAAGAGTAGCCAGAATGCTCCTTGGAAGCGAGAATGGTCAGACTTCATCTCACCTACTTTGATAATATTGTCAGAAGGGACCATTCCTTGGAGAAGGATATCATGCTTGGTAAAGGGGAGGGTCAGTGAAAAAGGGGAAAGCCCTCAATGAGATGGATTGACACAGTGGCTGCAATGATGGGCTCAAGTATTGCAAGCATTGTGAGGCTAGCACAGGACTGAGCAGTATTTTGTTCTGTTGTACATAGGGTCTCTGTGAGTCGGGGCCTACTTGACAGCACCTAACAACATCAACAAAGCAGTGATGGAGAAATAACAAATTTAAAGATTGAAGATAAAAGATCTTTGAAAAGTAGTGGTATGTCTGAGTTACATGGATCTAGACTAGATAGCTTTTTTCCATTTATCAGATATATATGTTAACTGTAGAAAACAAAGAAAAATATAAAATACTGCTATAATCTTATAATCTAGAAAAACCATCATTGACATTTTTGTCTATATTAGTTGTCTTTTCCTCTATGTATTTTTGTGAACAAATAAATGCACGTTTCCCATACAATCAGGATACACTGTACATATTATTTTGAAAAGTTTTTGTTTTTCACTTAGGTAGCATAGCGCCTAAGGCACTTGACTGCTAACCAGAAGGCTGGCGGTTCAAACCCACCAGCCACTCCTTGGAAGGAAGGTGGGGCCATCTACTTCCATAGTGACACTGCCTCGGAAACCCAAGGAGAGGTTGCTATGAGTCAGGTCTGACTCGAAGGCACATAATAAATATATTGCGAGCAATTCTATTTTATCCTGTATTGTTCTATAACAACATTTCAAGATCAGTCATATTTTTATTAGCTGAGCTCTGGTGGTGTAGTGGTTAAGGGATTTGGCTGCTAACCAGGTCAGCAGTTTGAAACTACCATCTGCTCTGCGGAGGAAAGATGAGGTGGTCTGCTTCAGTAAAGATTTACAGCTTTAGAAACTCAATGGGGGTCACTATGAGTCAGAGTCGCCTTGATGGCAGTAAGTTTTGTTTTTCTGGTTTTACTTTGGAAGAAGTGGAAAAAATTAAATTTCCTATTTTTAAATTCTTCCTAAGCAACTGAAGACAGTGGAATGCTGAACTGAATGGTAAAAATCTAATAGTAGTCTTACAAAGTGTGATGAATGAATGGAAAAATTTCAAGCTTCTGTGTGGATGAGTACAAAGAAGAAACCCACTCAATCATGACAATATAAAATGCTAACATAAATATAAAAAGGAATGATCAATTGTCATGTAGGAAAGGGGAGTTAGAATTATTTTTAATAATTCTCTTATTAGCCCAGGATACTTCTACAACAAAAAAGAAAAATCTTAGCATTATAGAGAAAGATTCTGAAAACTAATAAAAAATTATTACTATTTCTATAAAACTATGGAGCATCTAGACTTAGTAGTCTGGGCTGCTTCATCTTAACTGTAAAGAAGAAATGGCTCATGGAAAAGAAACCAAAACAATAAAGCAGGTAGATCATTCACATGAGAATAAACTAGTAGGATTAGAAACTTTGAGTGGGAAAGACAAATCCTGAGAATACTATGCCCCAAATCTAAAGTATAATGGAAGCTTTGAAAAGTAAATACCTAAGTTTTCATCAAATTTCAGAATATTAGAACCAAAGGATGCCCTTCAAATGAGAATGATGTACTTTGGAGGCTAAAATAAATACAAAATTAAGTGAAAAATGGCAATCAGGTATAACAAAAATATATATTTTAAAATGCATTTTATTGAAATATAATTTATGTACAGTGAAATACACAAAACTAAAGTGACATGGCTCAATGCATTTCTTTTTCAGTGTTCCCTCCCCTCCCCTTCCACCCCTGGCAACCAATAGAGAAAGTTTCTCTCCATATATAAACCTTTCCTTGACACTCCACAACAACGAACTAATACTATATTTGTCCTTCTGTGATTGACTTATGTCTCAGCATAATGTCCAAGTTCATCTATATTATGTGGTGTTTTGCAGTCTCTACATTATTCTTTAGTGCTGCATAGCATTCCATTATGTGTATGTACCATAGTTTGGTCATCCACTCTTCTGCTATAAATCTTGAGGTAAGTCCCTTGCCAGATATGCAATTATCGGCAAATATGAATTTGTTGCTGTCATTTTTGTTATGTGCTTTCTTGTGGTGTCGATTTCTTTGTTCAATATAACTTTCTATGCTGAGCTCATTTTGTTTATGAATCGTGCTATCACTTCCTTCATTGCTATTGTTTTAGTATTTGCTGAATATTTATGCTGGTCCTCTTTTTTGATGTGAAGGTTTATCATTTTTCTTTGAGTTTACCCTGTGATTTATAGTTTTTCTCCCAAGTTTAGAACAGTCCATTCTATCTTGTAGTTGTCTTGACTTCCCTACCATCTAGAAGTTCTGTAACAACACAGTTTTTTCCCACTTTTTGGTTTGTAGTTGTTCTCATTTGTCAATTGATGTCTCTGGTTCCCTGTTTACAATCTTGTAGGCTTATTTACTTTGGATACTTTCATAGCTGGGTTGGTTTCTGGGTTATATCATCATGTATGTTAATGGTCAGCTGTTGTTGGCTGTTGTTGCTTCTCTGTCCAAATGGCTCCCTTTAGCATTTCTTGTAAGGTTGGTCTGGTTTTAACCAATTTTCTTAATTTCTGCTTATCTGGAAATGTCCTAGTTTCACCATCATATTTGAGGGACAGTTTTGCTGGGTACATAATTCTTGGTTAGAAATTTTTCTCTTTCAGGGTTTTATATATACCATCCCATCGTCTCCTCGTCTGCATGGTTTCTGCTGAGAAATCCGAGCTTAGTCTTATTGGTTGCCCCTTGTAGGTAACTTCTCGTTTTTCCCATGCTGCTCTCATGATTCTTTCTTTGTCTTTGGTTTTGGTAAGTTTGATGATGATATGTCTGGGTGATTTTCTTTTGTGGTCTACCCTGTTTGGGGTTCATTTGATTTCCTGAATAGATATATTCTCATCTTTCATCATACCAGTAAAATTCTCTTCCAATAAACCTTCGGCAATTTTCTCTATGGTTTTATTTTTCTCTTCCTATTCTGGAATTCAAATTACATGTAGATTATTCCTTTTGATGGTATCCCACATGAACCGTAGGCTTTCTTCATTTTGTTTTGATCTTTTTTCTGATTTATCCCTTTCCAAAGAAGTGTTCAGGTATTTACCTTCAATCTACCTAATTCTGTCTTCCATTGACTCAATTCTGCTCCTTTCCCATTCAATGTCTTATCTATTTCTGAAACTTTAGTATTAATCTTCTGGATTTCTGTGTGTAGATTTTGTATCATTTCTAATTTTTCATTTATTTTGTCATTTTGTTCTTGTATTGTCTTTCAAAATTGTTCTAGGGTTTTCTCTGTGTTTTCCTTGTCTGTCTCTCAATTTGTTGAAGACACCTAAATATAATTCTTTTGAATTCCTTATCAGGGAGTTCCAATGCTGCATCTTCCTCAGGGATGTGTTTTGGGTCTGTATCCTGGTCCCTTGTTTCTCCTTCTGTATCTTGCTTCATTGTGTGGACTGTGATGCTCTGTACTCTCCGAGGCATTTTGATGTTTTTGTGTTTACATTTAATTGGTGATTGCATTTTGGAGTGACTTGTCCACGATTTTCATTTTCTTTGTTTTGTTTGTATGTTATCTACATAAGTAGGGTACTGTGCTGTGCTCCTCTATTCGCTAGTTGACAGCACTTATACACTCACCACTTGCCTCCTTTCCTGTTGTTAGCCTCTCATATGTCCCTGCTGACCTTGGCAAACAGAGCCTATTCTTAGGTTCCTGGAATCTGAATGAGAATGCTATTACTTTAAAATCCAACATGGTTGCCACTTGTAAAGATTCAAAATGGCTGTGCCCTCAGTCACTTTAAATATCCAAAATGACCACCGCTTGTAAACATTGAAAATGGCTACGCCCATGGTAACTTTGAATATCCAAAATGGCTGCCACATGTAAACAATCAAAATGGCCCCGCCCTCCGGACAGCGGAACGTCAACAGCTCAGGTTGTCTCCCACCTTGCTGTTTCCCTTCCTAGTCATAGGCCACCAGCGCAGTTGTCCCTGCAGCCCTTGGTGACCAGGGTTGATCTTTAGGTCAATTCTGAGGTCCCAGTACCACTTGGAAATATTTAGCCTGTTGGTCCCATTAGAGTAGCTGGCAGTCTGCAGCTCCGACTGTCTCTGTACTCACTGTTTTCATTCAGGTTTTTCCACTAGTTGGAAAAACACTTCTGCATAGTTCTTTTCAAAGCTCAGGGCTCCTTTGTATCTCTGTTTTTTCTTTTCTTTGTTGAAGAGGGTCTGTGTTGCTTGTCTGCCTATTCTTCCATCTTACTGAAAGTCCCATAACAAAAATATTTTATTGATAAAAAAAATGTGAATAAATCTAAGATTTTAGAAGAATCATGTATTGAGGGAAATCTGGCCAGTTTTGAATTCAGCATTAGCCTTGTGAGATAGTGGTACAGAAAGTACTTACAATGCTCTTGACAACACCAGAGCAAGACACAGTTGAATGGGTTTTTTCTTTGTATAAAGACATTTCACACCAACTTACCACACTGAAACAGTGTCTTACACATAATAAATATCCAATAGATTTACTAATGATTGATGCTGATGACCTACAGCTTGTATACAAAACATTCAGTGATGCTGACTGGTTCATAGACACTCAACCATCTTTGATGAGGCACACAATAGGTTATTTTTGGGGATCTTAATTTGCCATTTTTTGTTAAGTGTAGAACTCAAAGAAATGCTTAGCAGTTTCACAACTTTGAAGGAATAAGTATTGCCTTTAAGACATTATGATCATCTTCCAGTAAAATAATCCTCACCATTTGACTGTTCAATTTTTAAAATCCTATCATTGGTTTGGCATTAGCCTTCTGATTCTGAGAAAAATTCCACTTCTAATGACAATTAGATCATCAATGAACTGTTAAAGCAGCCAAGCTGTCTGTTCACAAGCATAAACATTTAATTGTCCTCAGCAGTTCCATTTCCTTTGTGGTTATCGAATAAATAATATGTGTGTGATTTTAAAAAAGGAAAAAAAAATCTACCCTAATAATGAATCCTTAATAGAAGTGACAAGGTAGTGAGTTTGGAGGCCAAAATAAATGTAATGTTTATAGAGGAAAAAGTTAATGTCAGATTTTTAAGTAATCAAAGAAAAGCCTTTAAAAATACGGAATAAGCCTTATTTTCCAAACATAATAAATGCCGTTTAATAAAAAAATATTGTTTTTCTGATGGCCTGAAGAATAACAGGCTCCAGAGAATTTCTGACTTATTACAACACATAAATATCCATAAATCAGAACCTGATGTAATTTTCTAGGTTAATAAAAATATTAATTTTTAAGATAAAATAATTAACCGTTAATTTATTTTTAATATCTAAAATTACCCACTAAGAGCACATAAATATAAAATAGGATTTTTATGCTAGTTTCAGATATAAACTCTAAAAAACATTCAAACATCATTTTTAATCATTTCTTTCAGACTCTCCAATATAAAGAATATACCTTTTTTGGTTATCTTGAGCATTCTGAAACTCCCCCATTTTTAATAATTCTCTGTGCAACTGTAGTCGTTCCATTTCTATAATTCTCAAGAGATCATCACGTGATCGTAACTCACTTTTAACCTCTGAGAGTCCTGCTTCCATGGCCTAAATAAAAAATTAAAAATTTTCAATGCCCATTTTTTGATATCATGATATATAATACACTTAAAAATATTTAACATCTATAAACTAGCCTGATTTTAAATGAACTAATATTTAATCTTGTGCTGGATCTATTATTTTATAGAATTCCATTCCTTCATTCATTTGTTCAACAAATATTTATTAAGCTCTTATTATGTGTTCAGCTGGGGATATAGACTCAAAACCTGTCTTTAGTGAGCTTACAGCCTAGTGATAGAGACAAAGAGTATGCAAATCATCACACAAACATAGCCACAGTATATGTAAATTTGAAAGAGTACAATATAAAAGTATGAATAAAATACGAATGCATAAAATTTTAATTAATGTAAATCTTTCCAAAATTACAAAAGATATTAACCAAGAATCATCTCATTCCAAAGCTTGTCAATGAAGTGAATTATAAATTGTGGTTCCACTACTGCCAATCTGTGGCATACTAGAAATACCAAAAATGTCTATATATTGTAAATAGAAGACTAAAAGTTGTTGGGAAGGATCCAGTTAGGAGTGAGAAGGGATGATAATAATGGTGTCAGGTTCCTGAGAAAGGGTGTTGGATGGACCCCAAAGCAAAGGTGGAAGAATTGCCTATTGTAAAAGAGAGACTGGCTCCTTTCTCACAACAGGAAGGAAGATGGAATGTAGGCATAGTCATCCATTACAGTATGGAGACATAAGAATGGTTGTCTGTTGGCTTCTATTTTCTTTGTGAATATAAGACAAAATCATAGGCTGACAGCAGAAACAGGGGTGGAGGTGGGGTATGGGAGTGATTTTTGAGAGTGCGGAAGGTTTGAAATGGCAATTATAGACAATCGGACAGTTAGCTAATTGAAGAAACCCAGTATTGTTGGGTAGTGTTGAGTACCCATTAGAAATTTGTAATTATGACCTGTTGAGTGATTTTCTCCAGCAATACTTGCCTGCTCTCTACAAGAGAGGACTGGAGGAGTCCTTCCACATCATCAAGGCCCTTCCACTCAGTTTTACAGAGAAACTAATATTTATTAAGTGTGCCTGACCTAGGTCATCAAATCCATCCCCATTTTTATAGATGAGGAAATTGAGGGCCAGAATTGGTCCAAAATTATACAGCTCATAAAAATTATACAGCTCAGACTAGGAAAGAAAAATCCAGAACTTTGACTCTTAGTCCACTTAGAACATTTAAAGTACAAAACCATTTTTCACTCAAAGGAAATGAAGCAGACCTGTATTGATAAAGACAATGATGAAGAATTTAGTAAAAAGTTCCTCTGCTAAAAAAGCTATAGAAAACACTTTATAGATTTCTGCAAAAAATAATTTTTTCAAAAATTATATATATAGTTTAATAATAGATCTTTTGAAACATAATTCACATACCATAAATTTCACCCAACTAAAGTGTACAGTTCAGTGGTTTTCAGAGTATTCAGAGTTGTGGAACCATCATCACTATCTAATTCCAGTATATTTCCATCAAACCCCCAAAGAACTTCATACCCATTAGTAATCACTCTTCATTTTCCCCTCAACCCCTCCAACACTAATCTATGTTTTGTCTATATGGATTTCCTTATTCTGTATATTTTATATAAATGGAATCATACAATATATGGCCTTTTGTGACTGGCTGCTTTCACTTAGCAGTACTTTCAAAGTTTACCCATGTTACAGCATGTATCAGTATGTAATTTCCTTTTCATGGCTGAATAATATTTCATTGCATAAATATACCACATTTTGTTTTTCTAGTCTTCAGTTGATAGACATTTGAGTTGTTTCCAGTTTTTGGGTATTATGAATAATGCTGCTATGAAAATTTACATACATGCTTTTTTGTGGACATTTGTTTTCTTACTCAATAATTCTTATCCAAGTATTTACAAAGCCTAGAAAAATAGTTGTGTAGGTGGTATGGGGCATAATTTCCAGGATGCATTAATTTTTTTTTTTTAACTAAGCCTTAAGTATATGCTATTTTGTAGGAGATCTAGAGACCAGGGTTCAGGAAAGAACCTAGCTGCATTACTTTAATCCAGAACTTCCTAGCTGACTTGGAAATAGGTATAAAAACAGATTCAAATCGCTAAGTTAATATGGGTTCCAAAGACTTGTTTGGATAAAATCCCTGATTTAAACAGTGAGTATTTTCAGGTGAGGTTAGAATTTCAAAATAAACACAAAAGAAATATAAAACACTAGATTGCTAAGTGGAAAGGCAAATTAACTTGAAGTGGCTGTCCCAGTACCTTGCAGTTGAAGGCGGCTTTGCAAATTTGCCACTGTTGTTGTTGTTATGTGCCGTGGAGTGGGACCCGACTCATAGCAACCCCTCCTTGGATTTCCGAGGAGGTATCACTACAGAAGTAGATTGCCCAACCTTCCTTCTGAAAAGTAGCTGGGGTTTGAACCGCCAGCCTTCTGGTTAGAAAGCCCATAAACACGAAGCTGCTTGTGGAAAAGTGGGCCTGCCTTCACTTGGAGGCCAGGATACACAAGTGCTATGTCTCTAGGCCAGGAAAAGTGGTGTTACTATGAATCAAGGTTAACTAAAATTCTACAAAATGTACATCATGTTTTTACTGTTAGTTATTAGAAAGTAAGAATGACATTTGGAGACTTCATTGAGGAAAAGAAAAGGCTTTGATTTTTCCTTTTCACAGGAGAATAACTGTTATTTAAATAATGATATGTACAGATGTGAGAGTACTTAACAAATAATCTGCTACTGGCTGCAGGCAGAGCCAAGTACCTTCAAGTGCCTGAGAGTAAGTTTGGGATGCTTAGAAGAGAAGCTAAACACTGGTACGTATTAGCAAAAACAATTGCTAGAACTGATTCTTAGTGATTTACCATAAGATCATTGCTTTTAAACAATAGCCTGAGGAGACAGCAGCACCAACTCTAGTCAGAAATTTAGAATTTAGGACTCAGCCTAGAGCTACTGAATCAGAATATGCATCGTAATAGTTCCCAAATGATTAAAGTTTAACAAATGCTGTTTGACAGCAGTGTTTCTTTCTTTTTCCTTCTTTGGTTATAAATTATCACACAGTTAGAAGAGTCTACTGAGGTTGACAGTAGGTTCGAGAACTTTTAAGAATCTGGGACAGAAAAATGGCTTTCCCCTGAACAGGCTGGGAAATATTCCATTTGGTACTTAGATAACTTGCACCAGAATCACCTGTTGTGCTTTTTAAAAATTGTTTCTCCCTGCCCCAAAAACAATACACTTTGATTCAATAGATCTTTATTTTTATAAAACTTTGGTAATGTTTAAAATTACTTAGGGATACTGTTTGTTGTCATTACGTGCTGTCTCATAGCGACGCTGTGTCCAATAGAACGAAACACTGCCCGCTCCTGCGCCACCCTCACAATCCTTGCTATGCTTGAGCCCATCACTGTAGCCACGGTGTCAATCCATCTCATTGAGGGTCTTCCCCTTTTTTGTTGGCCCTCTACTTTACCAAGCACCAAAGTATGAAAGATGAAATCTGGCCTTTCTCACTTCTAAAGAACATTCTGGCTGTATTTCCACCAAGACAGATTTGTTTGTCCATGTTACTTTCAATATTCTTTGCCAACACAACAATTCTAATGCATCAATTCCTCTGCTGTCTTCCTTATTCACTGTCCAGCTCTCACGTGCATATGAAGCTATTGAAATTACCATGGCACACCTTAATCTTTTAAGTGACATCTTTGCTCTTAAACACTTCAAAGAGGTCTTTTGCAGAAGATTTGCCCGATGCAATAAATTGTTTGATTTATGCAATAAATTGTTTGTTTGACTGCTGCTTCCATGGACATTGATTGTGGATCTAAGTAAAATGAAATCCATGACAACTTCAATCTTTTCTCCATTTATCAAGATTATTGATATTGGTCCAGTTGTGAGGATTTTTGTTTTCTTTATCTTTATCTTCTTTATGTTTCTTTAAGTTCTTTATGTTTACCCATTCTGTAGGCTGTAGTATTTGATCTTCATCAGTAAGTGCTTCAAATCTTCTTCACTTTCAGCAAGCAAAGTTGTGTCATATGCATATCACAGGTTGTTAATGGGTATTCCTCCAATCCTGATGCTACACTGTTCTTCATATAATCTGACTTCACTGATTATTTGATCAGCACACAGATTGAATAAGTATGGTGAAAATATACAACCCTGATGCACACCTTTCCTGATTTTAAACCCTGCAGTATCCCCTTGTTCTGTTCAAACTACTGCTTCTTGATCTATGTAAAGGTTCCTTATAAGCACAATTAAATGTTCTGGAATTCGCATTCTTTGCAATGATATCCGTAATTTGTTATGATCCACACAGTCGAATGCCTTTGCATGGTAAACAAAATATAAGTAAACATCTTTCTGGTACTCTTTGCTTTCAGCCATCTGACATCAGCAATGATATCCCTTGTTCCATGTCCTATTCTCAAACTGGCTTGAATTTCTAGCAGTTCCCTGTCAATGTACTGCTGCAACTCTTTTTGCATTATCTTCAGCAAAATTTTGTGTGTGATTTTACTGGTATTGTTTTATAATTTTTGCATTTTTTTTGGATCAACTTTCTTTGGAATGACCATAAATATGTATCTTTTCCAGTCAGTTGAGCAGGTAGCTGTCTTCCAAATTTCTTGGCATAAACAAGTGAGTACCTCTAGCACTGCATCCATTTGTTGAAACATCTCAATGGATATTTTTGTCAATTCCTTCAGTGCAGGTTGGACTTCTTCCTTCAGTACCATTGGTTCTTGATGATATGCTTCCTCCTGAAATGGCAGAACATTAACCAGTTCTTTTTGGTACAGTGACTCTATATATTCCTTCCATCTTCTTTTGATGTTTCCTGTATCGTTCAATATTTTGCTCACAGAATCCTTCAATATTGCAATTTGAGGCCTGAATTTTTTTCCTCAGTTCTTTTGCCTTGAGAAATGCTAAGTGTGTTCTTCCCTTTTGATTTTCCATC